GTAATACCAAAAACCCAGTAACTAATGTCAGTCATGACTCCCACGGAGCAAAAGTGAAAGAAGTGATGTTTTGTGTAATGTGACCAGAGAAGGGCTCTCTGATGAGGTGGCAAATGGGCATAAACTTGAAGGAAGTGAACAACCCACGGAGTTGCCTGGATAATGGTGTTCCAAAGAGAAGAAACAAAAGGGCAGAGGCTGACATGAGGGCATGTTTGAAAGGTCCTGGGACCAGAGGCTGGTGTGAGCAAAGAGGGGGAGGCGAGAGTGGGCGGGGCTTTTAAGACCTCTGCAAGGAATTACCTTTTACATCCAGGTGAGATGTGTAGCTATTGAGAGCTTGAGCAGAGGAATGACATGATTTGACTTTCCTTTTAAGAGTTTACCCTAGTTGCCTTGTTGAGAATGGACTGGGCAGAGTGGAGGCAAGGATGGAAGCAGCAAGACCAGCAGTAATCCAAGACAGGATGATGCTGGGTTTGTTCACAGTTGTAGCAGTGAAAAGGATCGAAAGTGGATCATTGTGTTTTGTTTCCCCTCGTGCTTCATTTTCCCCTGACCGGTGGGATTACCTTTCGGTATGTGTGCCTCTGAAGAGGGACTCAGTCCCAATCAGGATAAATAAGAGGCAGCCTCTTCCTGGGGGAACCCTGGGCTTTGCATTTGATGCTCTGTTAAGTGTCTGTGGGTTCTGTGGGGGGATCCATGATGACATCCGGCAAATGCCAAACCCTTCTGGGTAAGGGGCCATTTGGGCCCCAGCTTTTGTTACAGTAGGAGTGCTTCTCTCTCCCCAAAGTGGCATTGCTGCATCCATGAGTCCAAACTGCAAAGATGTAGCAGAGGAGATGAATGATGAGCACCCCCCCCCGACTCATTCATTTCACAGCAGAGGCCAGCCATAGATGGTCTCTGTGCACCTGCCTCAGCCACCAGGCTAGGTGTTCCACTGAAAGCACTTTGGGAGCACGAACAAGCCATACCACCACACCTCAGAACCGAATTCTAGCTTAAACTAAGAGGAGGGAAGGAATATCTAGTTTGTCTGCATAATAGGAACTATATCAAAAGATCTTCAGGGTCAAGAATGACAGTAGGTAGGCACTCAGGACTCTGGCAATAGCTTTACTGCCTCTCCCCATACTGGCTTGGTCCAGCCAAGAAGAAAATGAGTCTCCAGGACATCCAGCTTTGTCTCATCATGTCTCCTGTTTCTTTTTTGTGTTAGTTTCCTTAACCAAAACTGCTAAGAAAGGCTTGGAACTGAAACAGAACCTGATAGAAGAGGTAAGAGCTTGTTCTTTTTATTTCTCCAGACCTTGTATTTGGTTTATAAATGTAGGCATAGGATTGTATGTTAGGAAAACATACTGTTTAAAACAAGAAAAGGCTGCTGGTCTAGCCCTTTTCCTCCAGTGGCAGGAAAACTCCCATAGTAATGATTTCCAGCTTTGATTGAGCTCTTACTTTATGCCCTGCACAGGGCTGTGTTCCACATGTATCATTCCACTCCATCCTTACATAGGAGGTGATGTTATAACTGTTTTGCGGTTGGGTAACAAGCTTACAGAGATTTGTTAGTCTGCCTGATGTCAAAAAGCTGGGAGCTTCCAGATGTGAGTAAATGCACCACCTCACTGCACTGCTTTGGGGCTGCAAGCAGGGTGAGAAGGGTGTCTTCTCCTGCACAAAGATTCTATTTCCTTGAGACCACCTCATCATGGCTGCGGCCAGCAATGTGGGCAGAGCAGGGCTGGTGAGCCACCTCCCTTTAAGAGTAAATAATGAGGCTTCATGTGTTTCATTTAGTAGGCAACTTTCTAGTGCAACTGAGTGTTTTTAGGTTGTCGACTATTAAGGAACAAAACAGAGAAGCAGCCACAGGTAAGTCAGAAACCTGGAGAGGCTGTGGGATCTTGACCCATGGCTCAGCTTCCCCTACACTTGGTCATGCCTGCTTTGCCCCAGAGATCCTGGCTTAGAGGCCTCCAGCCCTAAACTTTCATTAGTGAGGGACTAGAGCATATTCTTTCCCATCTGAGGCCCAGGTGTTGAGCAATCTGTGGTGCCCCTGGAACTTCAGAGCCCCATGAATTGTTCCACAGCTTCGGAAATGTGTGGACACGTACAAGCACCTTTTCATCTTCTCCGTGGCCAACATGAGGAACAGCAAGTTGAAGGACATCCGGAGTGCCTGGAAGCACAGCCGGTGAGCAGGCAGAGGGCAGCGCCCTTTGAGTGCTTTCAGAGCCCAGAGGCAGTTATTGACTCTTGGTCACCTGGGTCACAGATGGCGTCTTAAGGACAAAGTGCCGTGCCCCAGTGAAGGGCACTTTCTGTTCCAGCTGGTCTCGCTCTGAGCTCCTTGGGGGGCAGGGCTTGGTGGTTGCTCAGGGAGTTTGAGCATTGACCCCCTTCAGGAGGAGGGGCTCCCTCACCCCTAGGGTCTGATCTTTTTAGGAACACTCTATCAGTTTTAGGTCAGGATGTACTGTGGGATGCAACAGGGACCCTGCAGCAAGCTGTACAAGCCATGTGGCAAGCATCTGTCCTTGGGCTAGAATTGTGAAAGTGCGGATGATGACTGGTCACCTACAGTTGCACCAGCTCTGGTTCAGACCATTAAACAGGCCTCTTCCATACATTCAGACAGGGCAGGCAGATTATCACATAACATTCACGGTGGGCTGATAGAATTATTGTGAATTTCGGGTTTATAGGCAGGAAAGTAGTGAAAAGGACCCTGGGCTGTAGACAGTGGGCAGGGCTCCATGGAAGAAGTGAGAGCCTCTGGCCACATCTCCAGCTACTAGAGCTGGTCTGCACTTAACTAGGGGAGCGCGGGGCAGGCCACCTCCTTCACAGACCCCTCTTCTCTCTGTAGGATGTTCTTTGGCAAAAACAAAGTGATGATGGTGGCCTTAGGTCGAAGCCCATCTGATGAGTACAAAGACAACCTGCATCAGGTGAGCCTCGGGCCCTCACGAGGAGGGCCAAGGCCAAGCCACCTTCTCTCCTGCTGTTCTGTGACACACCAGCCGGCCGGCCTGCCTGGGGCTCGGGGAAAGCAAGGTCTGGCTTAAAGCTCTGGTTCTCCTTCAACCTCCAACCCAGAGAGTAGATCCCCCACACACATGCAGCTGCAACCATCAAAAATGCCTCCAGATGTTGCAAATGTAGGGGGTGGGGGTCAAAACTGTCCCCAGTTGAAAACCACTGTTCTAATGTGACCGATGGATGCACTTTCGTTTTTAGGTCAGCAAGAAGTTGAGGGGTGAAGTTGGTCTCCTTTTCACCAATCGTACTAAAGAGGAAGTAAACGAGTGAGTGTTTTTGAGGAGTGGGGGGGAAGAAAGGTTGGTGAGGACTCTGGGGAAGGAATCCAGGGACTCTGTACAGTGGAGACATCAAGAACTGGCTCCTGGGACCTGTTACTGAGCCTTTATTCCCAGCACAGTGCTCCAAGCCAGCTGCTGCCAGCAGCTGAGATGAACCCAGAGGGGAGACACCAGGGGAACCTGACTTCAGGTGGGCCGGTGGGCCAGTCAGGAACCTCCCCTCCAGCCCCTTCTTGTTCCCCTAAGGTGGTTCACGAAGTACGCAGAAATGGACTATGCTCGTGCTGGAAACAAAGCAACGTTCACCGTGACCCTGGACCCAGGGCCCCTGGAGCAGTTCCCCCACTCCATGGAGCCACAACTGAGGCAGCTGGGCCTGCCTACTGCCCTCAAGAGAGGTACAGGGAGGTCCCTGGAGCTGAAAGGTCACAGCTGAGTGGCCAAGAGCACAGGCTCCCAAACCCAACAGGCCTCCTTTCTGGCTGAGCAGGTTATTTCTACCAGCTTCCATTTTCTCATGAGAATGGGGGACTAAGAGTGCCTACCTCATGCTTGGGGTGAATGTGGACAGTAACTTACAGCCAGGATGCAACACGTAAGGGACAGTGGGGGAGGCTGTCAGCTGTCACTACTCCAAATACGCCGCAGGCCACTGACACTGCTGAGTAATCCATGCCCCAGTGTGTGCTGGAGTGGGGAGGACAGGTGGACAAGCAAATTCCTCCCAACTCTGGGCAGCAGACAGAAAGCTCTGCCAGAAGTAACTGCTTGCTGCCCCCCTTCTCCGCAGGTGTGGTGACCCTGCTGTCCGACTATGAAGTGTGCAAGGAGGGCGATGTGCTGACACCAGAGCAGGCCCGCATCCTGGTAAGTTCGGCCCGGCTCCTCCTAGCAGTCTGCAGGCTGGGGCAGGAGGGGCCACAGTGACTCTGGATCACACCTGCTCTTCCTGACTCTCAGTTCCTTCGTCTCTTGCAGAAGCTTTTCGGATATGAGATGGCTGAATTCAAGGTGACTATCAAATACATGTGGGATGCACAGTCCAGAAGGTTCCAACAGATGGAAGATGACTTGCCAGAGAGTGCGCCTGAGTCGACAGAAGAATCAGAGGACGACGACGATGACTGCTGATAGGCAAGCAGGACTGAGGGCCTCTGGCTAGGTCCGGGTGTCATATTGACTATCTGGACTGCCACCGCCCCTCTTGGCGGAGCAGCTATTTATCTTGCTGTGGAAGACAAATGAGGGCTATAGGGACAGACTTTTCCTACAAAGAATAAAACTATCTGCAGGGTGTCTCCGTGTAGATGGAAAAAGGAACTTTTCTTAGAAAAAAAAGGCCTTTGGGTTTGGGCTTTTGTTTGGATTCCTAGGGTTCCTTTCGTTCACCTCGTGAGTCAGCTTCCAGCACTGGTTCCTGCATGACCACTGTCCCCAGAAGACAGAAGATCAACTACAGGGCTTCTCTTCAGTGGCCCTCAATGCCCTTGCTTGAAATGGGGATTTGCTGAGAAAAACAGGCACCCTGGCTCTGGCCGGTGTGGCTCAGTTGGTTGAGCATAGTCTCACGAAGTGAGAGGTCACTGGGTGGATTCCCAGTCAGGGCACATGCCGTGGTTGCAGGCTGGATCCCCAGTAGGGGTCGTGCAGTAGGCAGCCCGTCAATGATTCTTTCCCTGTCCCTTCTCTCTAAATTCAATAAAAACATATTAAAAGCAGGCACCCTGGCTGCCCTTCCTCGCCCTCCACATACTCTCTCCCAAGCCAGAGCTGAGTAGCTTTGGGGGGAGGACGACGGAGGCTTTAGCTAGGATGAGAGCACAGCCCCGAGTGTGTTAATATGTTCCACAGCATCCTTGGAGGTTGTCTTCTTGGTGGTGACTCTGACAGAGTTTTGCCCAAACTGTCCTATCTGTAAATGATTCAGTGAAGGCATTTCTGAATGAGAGAGTCTGCGTCAGGTTGTACGGCTCTTTGTCATGTGTGGGAGGGCCACCTCCAGTCCCTCTCCTGAGAGGTCAGACTGGAGTCGGCACAGGACGCTGGGGAGCCCATCCCACTGCCTCTGCCCTTCAAAGACGAATCCACACTCCTGCACCCTTCTCCCCAGGCCTTTGGGAAGACAGGAACCAGGTTGCTGGCAGCAAAAGAAGCAAGTTCACCAGGCTCACTTTGGGCCTGGGCTACCCCAGGTCAAGTGCCTGCTTTATTCAGACAGGAAATGCCGGAGTAGATCACAGCCCCTGCCTTTACACATTGTGAAGGCAACTGGGAGTATTACAAGAATATAGGAAACAATTTGTTAACTAAGACGATGAGAAAAGAACAGGCTAAATGAAGTTTAAGGCCAGGGTGAGAGACTGTAGTGTACTCTGCTACCTTGAGTCAGGACTAGGCCTAGCGGAAGTAGTTGGGACATTCATGGACAACCAGGTGCCAGGCTTGATCAAAGGCCTGCACAACAGCCGGCTCCAGGGGCCCTTCCTCAGTTGCTGCCAGGTTCTGTTCCAGCTGTTCCAGGCTGGACATGCCCAGGATGACTGCATCCCCGTGGGCACCCTGGAAGACAAGACAGACATCAATGCACCAGTGCACAGTGACTCCAGACATGCGCACCCCTCGCAGCCCTGTACCCGTTTGGGTTTGGGATCTGATGTCTTTATACCCTGTATTATTACAGAAAGAACTTATCTTGCCTTCAGACAGCTCTAAAGCCCTGCCTCCAGTCTCTTCAGCACACAGACCTAAGTTCAGAGCCACTGACCTCTGCCTCTCAGCAGCTGGGTTACTTACTTGACCTCTCTAGGCTTCAGACTTCCTGAAGTTTGCAGGGTGATTGTGGGAATTAAAATTGTGGGAAGTACTTTGCTTCAGGCCTGGCACTTAGCAGGTGCTCGATAAAGAGGAGCCACACAATACCCAAGCTGGGGGAAGGGAAACCCACCAGGTACAGAGTTGGACTCTGCAGAGTGGGCAGCCAAGGATGGAATAAATGCTAATGGTTAAAAAAAACCAGTCCTTGAGCGAGGGTTAAAAAATAAAATTGGGGTTACACCTAATAGGACCAATAGTGTTTGTGACAGGGTACATAAGGAAGTCAAAGAACAACAGAATTACTGCCCAAAAGATGGGAGGGGCATGGAGAAATTTCAGAGAAAGCAAAGGAGTCATCTCAGAAATCACCAAATAATTATGCAGCCCTCTCCCTCCTCACCACCGCCCCACCCAAGAAAATGGAAAAACAGAAGCAGAGCCTCCTGGGACAGCTGGGTTACCTGGAGCTGCGAGTGGTGGTACATCCACCGCAGGGCGGCTGAGGTCATGCTGGGGGCGCTGGTGCCATATGCAGCCTGCAGGGCCTTCTCCACCAGGGCAATGGCCTTGAAGTGGTGCTCCTTCCAGAAACTGGGCAGGTGAGGGGGGTGACATATAGGTCAGTATCATGGGGGTGGTCACATTGGGGGCTATAGGCAAAGAGCCAACCAGAGCAGCTATGCCCACCCCAACCCCACAGTAGGGGTTGGGCAGTGTCCTCTCTAGCAGTGGGGCTCGTGCCTTATTAGGCAGCAGAACCACTCGGGCTACTGGCTCCCTCACCAGAGACCTCCACATCTTCATTCCTAAGAACACAAAGCCTGTCCTCACTCCACCCTGGAGCACACATAGCTAGTGCAGGAGGCAGGCCCCACGTCTCCTGAGCCTCAATCCAGGGCTCTTTCCTTTCCTCTTAGCAGGTGATGAGCATTTCCCAGGGAACAGCTGTGACTTGGAAGACCCTGCTTAAGGTCCAGGGATCCTCATTTCCTCCCAGAGGTACCAAGAAAACAAGAAGAAACCCCACAGAGGGTTTGGCAATTCCTGCAGGAATCCAGAGACATAGGTCCAGGCTGCAAGGGAAGGCCTGGAGCCCACAGGAAAGCAGCCTAGAACTTCTCCATTCAGATAAAAGAACACTCCCCCCCACATACACACCCCTAATGCAGATATCTCCAGCTCACCGATTCCTGTAGGTCTCAGCCCAGCTATTCCCAAAGAAGCGGCCCACAGGTTGTTTCCCATCCTTGTCTTCATACTTGTACTTGCCAGTCAGCAGGCCCCCTGTGGGAAGGCTGTAATCAGATCCCCTGACCCACACTGCTTCCAGAGGCTCTTCTGGACTGGGCTTGGGGGCGGAAGGAGAACCAGGAAGGATGGAAGGCACAGCCGAGCCTCCTGTGAAACCCATTTCTGCTTCCCAGGGCCAGGAATGCGCACCCACCCCAGGAGGAGGAGCCTGTCCTCGTACCAGCCAAAGGGTTGTAGGCGTAGAATCTCAGTCCAAAGTGCCTGAGGCAGGGGAAGAGCTCTGTTTCCACCTGCCGGGTGGTGGCGTTGTACATTCCCTGCAGGCAGAATGACCGGCTAGAGAGGGTGCACATGTCAAAGGAAGGGACCCCAGCAACCTTCTTTTAAAACCTGCAGTCAAAACCTGCCAAGGACTTCAGCAGTGATTTCCCAGACCACCTGGTGGTAGGGGATGGGGAGACAGCATTGGGCCCAGGAAGGGAAACTGGACTCGAGTGATCATTCCACAAACATCTATGGGTGCCAACTGTGGGCTGGACACTGGGTTTCCAAACATGAGTAAGTCCAGCACAATCTCTGTCTCCAACAGATGTTAGAGGCGAGTTAAAGACACAGAGAGGAGACAGATAATCACAATAAAGGTGGTTTCCAGGATTAGAGCCAGGCTGAGGAGCTTGCACGTCAACCTGAGGGGCACCTGGGGCCGATATGCAGGCTGTGAGCAGGGGAATGGCTGCTATGGAGAGGGCAAGGGCCGGTCAGAGGGGCCAAGAGAAGTCGGGATCATAGGAGCCCTGGAGACAGGCCTCTGCAGCCCTGCCCCGCACCTGGTACACAGTGGGCAGGGTCCAGCCGTTGCTCTTGCAGAGAGTACAGATCTCAGCCACCTCCCAGGCTGCATAGTTGGAAAGCCCAAGCTCCACAAACTTGCCCTGCAGGGAAGAGGCAGTGGTCAGAACCCAACACCGTCAAGACAACCCTAGGTGTGGGGACTGTCCCCAGCTCTGCTTTGGGACAGCCCTGGAGCCTCTACTCTCCTGGGTAATGGCAGGCCAAAGAGAGGAGCAGCAGACCTCCTCCTGGAGCCTAGGGGGGCCACCCTCACCTCTTGGTGCAGCTGGTGGCAGGCACGTAGCGTTTCTTCCACGGGAGTGGCATGGTCAGGTGCATGTAGGTAGAAGAGGTCCACCTGGGAGCACTGCAATCGCTTCAGTGATGTCTCCAGCTGGGACCGGAGGCTGTCAGGCTTCAGTGACTTCCCATCCCAGGGATTGGCCTTGGTGGCAATTTTCACTTTGGGGGCAGAATGCAATGGTGGAGAGACTTACTATAACCACTTACTAGCCATGTGACCCTGGCTAAATTATTTAAGTTCTCTGAGCCTCAGTTCTATAATCTGTAAAATAGGGGTGATAGGGAACTGTCCTCATTGGGAGATCGTGAGGATGAACTACATGATGTTACATGTAAGTTCTCAATGTTCACTGCTGTTATAGTAACTATTATTAGTCATCATACTGTTTGGTGTGCCAAGCCTTGCACTGGAGGCTGAGTACACAGAAAGGAACTAAACACACTCGATCTCTACCCTCAAGGAGCTCAGAGTCTAGAAGGTGAGGTTACAATACAGTAAGTACTGCACAGAAAAGCACTGGTGCTAAAGGAGCCCAGAGAAGAGGTGTGTGGTCAGCCTGGGACTGCCAGGGAAGGCTTCCTGTGGGATAACCCCCAAGCTGAGTTTCCAAGAATGAGTCACAGTCAACAAGGAAGGCTGGGAAGCACATTCCAGAGGGTGGGAACACAGGCAAAAATCATAGACAAGGCAATACAGTATGTGAAGGGCCATACTTGGCAATTCTGAGCTATAAGAGCATAAACTCCAGGCATGGAGCAATGGAGCAAGAGAGAAGAGAAAGGGCACAGGCATAATCTCAAAGGATCTTCTCAGACACCATCACTCAAACGTTTCAAGTCAGTGTGTGCCTGCACTCTGGCTGCAGTATAGAGAAAAAAACTCAAGGGGGCAGGCCTGGAAGTATAGAGACGGGTAAAGAGGCTGCTGGGAGAATTCAGAGAAGAGAAGTATCTGCCTGAACATGAGCGCTGGCAGAGATCAAGTTGAGAGACAGGCAGAAGGCAAAATGAGCAGAAGGCAATTATAGTTCCCCTTCCCCTTCCAGACTCGTGGAAGCTACACACCCACCATCCAGACACAGTCCCCATGAGAACGATAGTGCTCTGCCATGCAAGCACGGCTCTGCCTTGCAAGCGGCGTGGAAATGCTATACAGAACGCTGGCTGGCTGGATCGGGGGGTGGATGGAGTCTGCACTTTTCATCCTTGCCAAAGACAACTCAGCAGTTCAGAGGGAAGTCATCCGACCATTTCATATGAGGGAACGAGTCCCACAGCCTTACGACCAGATACTCTCTATTCCTCCGAATGCTCAGTGAACTTTGCCTCGGGTCCCACCTGAGGACTTGGGCCCAGTGAGTGCCTGGGTCAAAGAAGGAAGCAGGGAAGGGTTGCAGAAGAAAAACCACTTCAGAAACAAAACCTTCATTAACAACAAGGCAGCCAGGTGAACTAGACAGCATGGGCCTGAGATACATGTCCCCATTCTGTTCCTCCAGATCCACCAAGCTATGAGTCTAAGGGTCCCGAGGGGAAGCCCCACAGGGGCTGGGAAAGAAGAGCCTGGGGGGGAGGGGGCGCAAAGTGTGATAGTAATAATAGCCAACGTTTACTGGGCGCCACTATACGTCAGGTAGCCTCCTAGGCACTTCTAATGGAATCAGGCTAATGAGGGACAGTCCTTCCTTACACACACTTCCCCCTTTCAAGCCACACCTGCCCACGGGCCACCCTTCCACACACCAGGCACTTTGCATTTCCAAGCCCAGTCTTAGTACAGCTGTGCCCTCAGCGCTAATGCCCCTTTCTGTCATTCTCTGCCCAGCAAACCACTACTGATCCTTTAAGGCCCAGCCAGCTCCTGCTCTCTGAGCCTTCCCCAGGGCCCCTCCCAGTTCTGGTCGTCCCAGAGCGCTGCCCCTTCTGGGTTCCCTGGTAATCACTGGCTTGTCTTCCCCACCACACCCTGAGCTCCCTGGGGGTGGGTTAGTCACTTTCCCTCCGGTTACCCCATAACAAAGATAGCAGGGGCTACCTGACTGGCTCTCTCACACGGCCACCTCTGCTCCCCCAGCCCAGCCTGCTACTGCATCGCTACCGCTCTCCCTGAGAGCGCCCAGGGACTGCCAACTGACCTGAGCAAAGTCCAGGGACTGGTGAAAGAACAGGGTGCTCAGGGAGCGGAGGGGGAGTGAGGGCAATGGGGGGAGGGGCCTGGGCGGAGCGCGGGGCCTGGTTATGGGCACCTGGCAGGACTGAAGGCGGGAAGGGCACGGCTCTGGAGGCCAGTGCCTCAGAGAGGTTCCCCAAGAAAGCAACAGGGGTAGAAAGCTAAGGGCTAGACCAGACTCGGGGGGGGTTCCCGAGCTGCAACCCCTAAAGGAAGGGAAGGGGAAGGTGGTCAGGACAGAGCCCTGTACGGCTGTCGGGGCTACATGTGCACCGGGTCTGGAGAGCAGGGCTAGGGGAGGGGACGAGGCTGTCGGTGCACAATGGCTGGGGCCGGGTCAGCGTCCAGCCGGCGCAGGCGGCAGTGAGGGGCCGTTACCTCTGCAGTCGCCGCCGCCCAGCCCGAGCCCCAGGCCGCCCAGGATGCTCTCCGACTGGCCGTCGCTGTACATGAAGGCCGTGTCCAGCTCGGTGTGGCCGCGCTCCAGGAAGGCGCGCACAGCCGCGGCGCAGGCGGGCGCGTCCAT